CAGCAACCCCCCCCCCTAAAAAAAACCCCAAAACCAACAACAGCAACCCAACAACAAGAAGAACAAGCACATTTTAAAAAAAATGGTGGTCCTACTTTCAGTAAGATTTTTACAGCACTTGCTACACTATTAAGTTATATAAGTGACGAAGAAGAGAAGTGGTACGAGATCTCGAGAGTAATAACAAACACAAAAAGAAGGAGGGGAGATAAGGAGGATAAATAAATCATGGTCAGTTTTAAGAGATGTTAGCGACCCAGCATCAGTTGGGCTCGCGCGCCCTTCTGTCTAATACCATGCAGTATTAACCTTATCCGCACATCGTGTTTAACCATCGTATCCATACGACGTGGGGAACTCTGTGCTGCCACTTTCCAAAGAGGAAATTTACTCGATAATCCGATCCGTACGCTTTGCATAGCAGTCTGTCCAAATTATTTTTTTGAGAAATACAGAAAGTTTCAAAGAGATCTTCGTACTAGAAGTATTTTAAAAGGTGAAGAATACAACATCGGGGGTACAAAATGATCCCAGGGCGTATGGATAGGGTTAAGTGCAGGTTTGCTGCAGTTGCTGTAATGTTCCATAGAGTGTGTTGTCAGTGTTAGGTCTTGGTGGGAGCAGCGGAGCTATGATACCAATTAGGGCAGTGCAGTGGAACAGAATGTTAAAAGATAGATGCCATCACTTTTGTTCACTTTTACTTTTGCATTTATGTACATCTTTTTGCCTCCCCCCTTTCCACCCAGTCGCTTGAAATTGTTGTGGTAAGTCAAATCTCTTTCACTTCGTATCTCCCCTTACTTCCAGTGTGAACATGGTTTCCTTCTCCCATATCACTTCTTTCTTTTGTAACCATTACCCTTCCCCAAATTCAATCGATTCTACCTATCAAAATGGCTTCTTCTAAAAACCCAACTCCTTTCACCCAACAAAACAAATCAAGAACAACAACATAATAACTGAACCAAACAACGTCCAATGCCAGATATCATTTCACCATTTCATGGCCTCTTTCCTTCCCCAGGCGTTGCTGGACCTGGGCACTCGCCATGGTGAGAACATCGGAGACTGTTCCGTGTTCTACGCCATGCGACTGTTCGCAGACTTTCTCATCCCGTCTGTGACAACTCTGGGCATGCTGGCCCTCAACATTGACTACATTCTGCGGCTCTGGTGGGTCATTTTTTGGACACATCTTTGGAAACTTTATGTCCTTTCTCGTATGTCTGTTTACGTGCATGTTTGTGTGTGTGTGTGTG